GCCACTTGACCAAGATCACATATTTGGTAAGTGTTTTAACCTATTACAACTTAGGCCGGGCGTGGAGGCTCACGCCTGCAATCCTAGCACTCTGGGAGGCTGAGGCGGGAGGATGGCTTGAGTTCAGAAGTTTGAGATCAGCCTGACCAAGAGCGGACCCCATCTCCACTAAAAACAGAAAAAAATAGTTGGGCCTGGTAGCAGCGGCCGGTAGTCCCAGCTACTTGACAGGCTGCGGCAGGAGGATCGCTTGAGCCCAGCAGTTTGAGGTCGCTGTGAGCTAGGCTGACGCCACGGCACTCTAGCCCGGGCAACAGACGGAGACTCTTGTCTCAAGAAACAACAACAACAACAAAAACGTAACTTAATCACGACTTGCCTCATCTGTAAAACGAGGACTTTATTTACCTACCAGGGCTTCAAAGATTAAACGAAACAATTTATAGGTGCTAAGCTAGCTCCTCCTCCTCCCTCCAAGAATCATCTGAGAGTACTTGCTAGAGAAGCACATTCCAGAACTTCCACATCCAGAAATTGATTCTCCTCTTAATAAGGCCTAGGATTCTGCATGTTAACAAGCATCCAGATGACCCTGGTGCAGACGGTACAGCAACAGCATTTGGGAAGCGCCGGTCTAACGGGTAAAGGAAAACACCTTTTGACCTTGAGCACATCACTCCAGCTCTCAGAGCATTAATTCCCCCCACACAAGGGTGAGCATCTGCTTTCCTTACCTTAAAGATGGAGGATTATAATTAATCTTTACGCAAACCTAGTTATTCGCAACAACTGTCATTCTAAAATCTTCCACCCTTAGTTCCCCATATTAAGAGATTTCAACGTCTTCTTCCGCCTCCATTATTGATCAATTTTTCCTAAACCTCTAAATTTTAAAAATGCCGCTCTTTCTCTTCCCCCAGGGAGACTTTTTCACGGCAGCAGTAATTGGTCTGGAATTCTTGTCCGGTGATACCATTCTGGGGGACAACTGCAGCTCGTATTACCTTTTAAGAAACCCTACCCTTGCGACGAGGCTGCAAATACACGATGAAGCAAGCATTAGCGGGGCTTGCTTGCATGAAGCAGCAGCTGACGGAGAAGCAGCTTCTACACGGAACCGCAGTGAGGAGTACTCACGAAGGCAGGGCATGTCATGTTATAATACCGCTCTCCGAACACTTTACTGGCCCACGAAACGCCTAAGCTTTTTGCCACCCTCGCCCGCGATCCACGCAAAAGTAGGAGTTCCGAAGTTCTGGGCGGAAAAAGCCCCCCAGGGACACACTTTCTCGCGTTCAGACGCGCCTACCGAAGACCGCAAAAGAAACCAAGACAAAAACATCCAGAAACTCTGGCTCCAGCTGTTGAGAAATGAGGGAGAGGACACACGAAAGAACAGAAGGACCAGCAAAGTAACGCCAAACCAAACACAGCGACTCCCCGTTCTCCCTTCTCCCCGTCTCTTCCCAGACTCCGCTACCTTGGGAGGCCGAATTTTGCAGATGCCGGTTTTCTCCGCCAAAGGCCGGATGCGGCCGATAAAGCTGAGCGGGTCTGTGAACTCCTCCCAGCTGGGCTCGAAGACGGGGCACTCCGGGGGTGGCACGAACTCCGCCGCGTAGCCCCCCGGCCCCACGCCCGCCATGGCAATAGCCACGGAGCCCCCCGGGAAGGAACCGGTGGACAAAGGCCGGCTGAAGCCCGCCGAGCCCCTTCACGTCCCCTGCCAGGGGCCGAAGCGCATCTTCCCGGACAAGAGCTGGTCAACGCCGCAACCCCGAAGCCGCTTCCTCCTCTCGTTTGTTATTGTTTCTCTCGGGGCTTTTCCTCTCACAGCCAGGACTTTTCCGGAAGTTAGCGTACTGTCAAATCCCTCCGCCGCCGCAGGAAACAGAATCCTTCCGCCGCGACGCGGCGTCTGGCTCTCCAGCCCTTCGTTCCTCTTCCCTTTCCGGGCAGCCCGGAGTGGCTCTTTCTCTCCTCGGCCGCCCAAGTTCTGCGCAGTCCAACGACTCCTCGCGCTTCGCCCTTTCGAGTCCCACGGGCTCCCCTGTAGGAGGGGCGGCGGCGGGGGGAAGCGGTCGGGCCGAGGGAGGACGCTCTCTTCCGGCGCGGAGGAATGTGTAATGCCCCAGAGGGCAGAGGATCTGCTTCCGGTGGGGAGGGTCCGGTTTCTCTTTGTGTATAAACGAACGCGGAGGCCGGCCGGGCCCTGACGTTGGCCACCTGCCTGGGCGCAGGTGCTTCCTGGCTTGGTTTAACCTGCCCGTCTGCTTGCGAACGAGTGATCT